TTGCAGACCCCATGGAAAACTTGTGAGTGATTTTTAAGCCACAAATCTGAAAAAATCGTTTTCTCATCCTATTTCCGAAACCTCCTGGTAAGCACTGCTGATCCCTCTCAACCTGATTTCCTCCCTCTCATGCCGCTGAGGACTCACTGCCACGACATACATTTTTGTCAAGTAAAATCTATGACGGCAAAATAAAGCGATCAACACACAATGATTAAATTTTTACGCTCTTAAACCCGGAACTAATTTATATGACTTTCTTGTTTTGGATCCTCTTTGCCACCTTCTTCGATTATTGTCTTATTCGTTATCGGTGCAGTTCCAGTGAACAGAAGGCTCATTGAACATCTCTTGAATCTACCTGATTTCAGATGAAACCACTGTTGCTTGCTCTCTTCCTCGCCGTATGCGTACTGAGCGTAGACGGATGGAATCGGGTCAAAGGTGAGTAGAACAGCAAATCTCAAAAAAGTTCATGTTTTTAGCCTCCTTGAAATAACAGGGTCATGTTTGCATCCCTTGGATAGCATCGTAGTGGTTGGTCTATTTTGAGAGACAGCCACATGGGGAGGATCATCTTGGAAGAGTTTGTCTGGAAGTCAATGCTTATCTAGAAATTGAGGATTTTTCCTCGTCCCGTAGATGAGAGTGTATTTTTCCTGACCTCATCTAATAAAATTCGCGAGCTGGGTAGAATATTCTGGGCGTTGAGAGGGGGTTAAGGCGGGTATCCGACAGGAGGCCCGTCGCGCGGCAAGAAGGCAGAGTCAGCGGACGAGTCGCAGCGCGTGCTGTGCGATGTAGGACGTACAATGGTACATTCTATTTAACTTGACGCGAAATCACTACAGTACGCGCCGCGACTCGTCCGCTGACTCTGCCTTTTTGCCGCGCGATGGGTATTGTTCGTTGTGGGAAGTTAATAAAACTTCATATCGGTGGTTCTGAGAGGGGGCCGACTGATATTCTTGAAGTCTGTCCCAGGGAAGAGTCGAAATGCAAGGTATGAAATGCAGAGCGAACAACCATTACGACCTCAACGTAGGGATGGGGTTGCCCAATTTCAAATTTTGATTCAACATAAGAGTTGCTCTCGGATTGAGAATGCGTCAGGAAATTTCCCACAGCGCCCTGGATGTGCCTCGGAGTAGTCTAATTAATTAAAATGTAGGGATGTCAAATTTTGGTTTTTTTTCACAACGAAACCATTTTTGCGAGTCACACTTTCTCTTTAGGCTATTATTGATTGATTCGATTATTTTAGCGTATTGTTCGACTAAAATTCCATCCCTGTGAAAATCATAAACGAAGATAAATGGATGCTTTTCTGCGCAGCATTTATATTCTAAGTAATTCAAGATTTTCAGCCTTCAGCAAAGATGAAGAATTCATCGACTGATGCTGATTCCGGAAGCAACTGCCATTGCCACCATCATCACTATCACCACCACAAAATGCCAGCATTCCTCAAGTGAGTTAATTCGAAATTCCAACAATTGCTAATCAGACCCCCCCCCCAAAAAAAAGCAGTTCACAGCAGATTGAGTACGGGCTCGAATAGATACTTCAAACAAAGATAAAATGCGTAACTCTCAGTAGCCACGCCCACTTATCAGGTTCCGCCTGTCGGCGGTAGCTCGGCAGTCAAAACAAAGCTTTGAAAACAAGTTCAATGCACTAGATTCTTGAAAGAGCTAACAGCCCTTAGGCTGAGCTTACTGTCATCAGTACTCGCTTGAGTCACCTCTCTACTGATTGTAGCACGTGATACTGGTGCTTGCAATCCAATCTTTGGCTTTAGATGGGTGGGTGGTAAGCGGCGTCGCTCGGTCACTGCTTCTCCACTCCCTCAAAAGCAGTGTTAGTGGTGACGGAAACTGTGAGCAGTTTTGACCATTGAGCTCAATTGGCGAAAGAGTATCTCACCAGATAAGACTTTAAACACTCTAGCGCGCTGAGGATTCCGTCCAGGTCTACCACTTAAAAAAGGTGGGTGATCGTGATCGATTTCAGATTAGTAAAGCATTCCACAATGAAAACGTCTTGGGACGGGACTTTGATTTCAAATTTTTCCCTTTATCCGCCGCACGATGTTGCGTGCGCAATTATGCAGCCTTCGATGGGATAGCCATACGTTTGAAAGGCTAACTTGCAGCTTTGGAGGGGTTGGCTTTGGGGTCCAAGTAACTCTAGCTGAGGTTTTTTGGATGGGGATGCGATGGTTTAAGTGCGAAGACAGCGGTAAAAAACGACTAGTATTCTTTTTGCAACGCCTACAGCATTTTTTCAATGGAAGGTGAAGTCTTTATCCCGCGGAAATATGTCCCTAGATTTACATAGTTTGAGCTTACAAACATGTCTCGAACACGAATATGGTCAGATTAGGTCCACGCCATGACCTTCCAAGCACTAGACCGCACACAAACCTTGGACTACTAGTCCACTCCAGGTGAACTTGAGTTCATCCCGTACCGGTCTTTGCTGATCTGTCAAATGACTTAGAGGCATTCATCTCAGGTAGCCTTCGACCTGAGAGAATTTTGTTAGCCTATGAGAAAGGATCTCGGAGCTGGACGAAGTTTTGCTCAAAAACGTGTGCAGTTTATTGCATTTTATAACATTAATATTTTGTTTGTGCAATCTTATAAAGCAGTACATGGAGAATTTCATTCAGGCATGTGAGTGCTGATGCACGTTGGGAATACTACGCTATCATTCGAGACATGTTCTCGTCGATGAGCGATAAGCTGAAGAAGCTCGACGAGTGGGCCAAGAAGCAAGATCCCGAAGTAAAGGTGAGCAGCTGGACCGCGATTTAAAAGAGTATAGGGAAAAATATTGCGCGGTGCAGACCGAATCGTAGACATTTTTCAGAAAGGAATGGAGGCGTACTTCAAGAATATTGACATGTATTGGAAAGATGTCAACAAAAACGTAACGATGACTCTCGAGGAGCTGCCAAAGGTCTATCCGAAGGTATCTTCCCAACCGTAAATAGAAAAAGTAATACAGAAAAAACAGAGAAGGGACCCAAGGGCATCTCAAAAGGCTCGGCTTCTTGCATCGCTTTTTAGAAGCTGTCCCAGTTTCCACTTCTCAATAAATATTTCCGAGGGTTGAGCCCCACAGTTTTCAAGAAATATTTTAAGGGTTGGGTCCAGCCTTTGGGCGAAAGCGTAGTTCATTCGCCGCAGAAACAGGGTTAATCAGTCCCTATTGAAAACGGCTCAAGTTACTGCTAGGCCGCTCGCGAAGGCCTTGTTGGCACTCCAGTTACGTGAGCAAGGCTTCTGCAATTCTGAATAGGGCCCTACATTGGTGCTAGCATTTTTTCACTATTTTTATCGCTACTTTATAACGAACTGAGATTTTATTTTTATTAGGTTTATGAGATCATGGCCGATCTGGATCTTACTCCTCGAGAAATTTACAAGAAGATTCGCGAGCTACAGCTCAGCAAAATGACATCACACTCAATGTATGCCGTCGCAATGGCTGTCATTCACACCGGAGGAGCAGAATATCCGTATCTCATGGACAACGACATGTTCCTTGAAAGTGAGATCATCTACCTTTTTTCGATATGATTACGAATCAACGATTAGGCACTGGTTTCTAGAAGCTTAATTGCAAAAATTAAATAACTAGCGGGAAAACAGAATGAATAAAGAAAGAAAGTCGTATCGGGCGCAGATGTTCCATGCAGCGACCTCCGGCCTTAGTAAACTACCAGGTCCCTTTGTTTCGGATGCAGGCTCCAAAATCATTCAATTTTGGGCTAAGAAAGGGAGATTCTTTGCGGAAGATATTGTACACTTGTACACGTTTTATGGAGTATATTCAAGAGAAAAGACAGAGCCGCCGATTGAACAATCAGGGACTGTTGAAGATGAAGTGAAAGAGAAGTAGCGAGCGAACAAGGGAGTGTATAAATGAAAGGTGATTCTAGAAGACACATAGTAAGGTGTGGGCCATTGCGTATCCCATTTACCACGAAGGGAAATCTGTTGAATAGTTCCCAATATGGAAAAAGCGAAAGACAGTAAAAACTCCTCAGAATCAACTGCGCGCTGATCATGGCAGGTGGGGTTTGCGCTCCACCCTGAGGAAAACTTCATTGGTCAGTTTCATCTCTTTATCCTATTGAAAGAAAGCTAACTAATGAGACTTCCTTATTAGCTCTGCTATCTAATCGTAAGTGATTTTAAGGGTTTTTGGCGACCTTTTCGATTTCTCCCATTATAGGCGGACCAATTAACCCGAACACGCTCATTCTTTGGCACAGGGAGGAAATGCCGAGATGATCGGACGTAAGCAAACCAGCCCTTTTGGCGCTTCGGCTGGGACCGTATGCTGAATGTTGGGGAGGGGATGGAGTCCCCGACGGTGGACGGACCACTTCAACTCGGTCCTTAGAACCGCCACAATTTGGTGCTTACCTCAGAACTAAGCCTTAAAGAGAGGACGGGTCCGTCCCCTCTCCAAGGCTTAGTCCTGGGGTGAGCAAACCAGCCCTTCTGGCGGAGCTGCTGGACCACATGCGTCAGTACTCTCCTATCGTACCAACCGAGTTGAAGTAAACCGTCGACCGTTGGGGACCCCATCCCCTCCCCAACATTCGGCATACGGTCCCAGCCGAAACGCCAAAAGGGCTGGTTTGCTTACCCGATTATGGAGACCTAGAATGCTGGGCTAGAACTTTCAAGTCGCACGTATAGTAGTGGACGGAGTGGGGCCCGCAGATCGCCTTACATGAATGAAACGTGTCATGTGGTTCTAAATGGGATTCAGGCGTTTACATTAGGGGAGACCTAGCGATCCATTCGACTTATTTATCCGTCATACATGTGCAAAAGTAAATATATGACGCATAGGAGAAACTTCTTTTTCAGCACTGGCGACTCCGAAGATTCGAAATCTTTTCCACCGCAACACTTGCAACAATTGATACGACCATACTCCTTATTTCTGTTTGTATAAATAATTTTCTGCGAAACACGTTAAACACGTTAACAACAGTACACTTCGATAGTGGTGAAACAGGTTTTACAGTACGAACTGTCCCACGGTCCTAACCAGGAAAGGCATTCAACTTCCCATTGAGCTTTCCATGAACTTTGAATGAGACCCAGATATATCGATAGAGCTTCGAACGCTGATTACAAATATGGAAGGCTAAAACTGCAAAATGGACCTGCCAAGGAAGTTGTGAGCAGTCAAGTTGGCTGAAAGTAAAGCGTTGCATATGAACCGTGCTAGCCTCCGAGCTCTCAAAGTCGTCGTGGAGTAGTGATAGTGCCTCTTGAAATTCGCACTCTCAACGGGAAGAAACTTATGACCTCACAGGTGAAGAGCGAGGGCACTACCTCTACTCCACGGCGACTTTGAAAGCCCGGAGGCTAGCACGGTTCATATGCAACGCTTTACTTTCAGCCAACTTGGACTGCTCACAACTTCCTTGGCAGGTCCATTTTGCAGTTTTAGCCTCCATATTTGTAATCAGCGTTTCGAAGCTCTATCGATATATCTGGGTCTCCATCAAAGTTCCATGGGAAGTTGAATGCCGTTCCTGAAGTATAGGATTCCCGAAAGGAGAAAACTACTTGTCTCCTTCTCACAGTGGTAGACGACTTGAAAATCGAATACCTGGACACTCAGCTCAACATTCCTTCACTGCTCTTCGTAGCAGGTGTCGGTAAGAGGGTTGGCCATGCCTCGAGGAAATCAGACTCACTCCCCCGCTCCGCCCCAGCCTCCCTCCCCAAGTGCTGACATCAGCAATCGAGACATTCTACGTGAATTCCTTTGAATGCTCGTCAAGTCCAGGAATAGAACATGTTCCAAGTCTTGTGAGATTTTCTTAAAGAAGAGTTCCATGATTCTTCTGACAAAAATCGCCCATGCCTATGTAGAAATTACTTCCTTTTTGATAGACTTCTATGTCTGTCGCGCAATGGCACACTTTTACGTAGCGACGCGTCGGCGCAGCTCGTGCACTCAAACACACGGCAGTGGGATGTTTGGCACCAGCCAGCTCCTCGAGATTTACAACATCATATGAGACCACGGGATCCTACGCCGTGCCCCGTGCACGGACCCCATACAGAAAACGCTTAGCCCCTCTCCCTCCCCCAATCTATTCATAACAACGGTAACAACTCACCACAGGAACCAAAAAACTATATACAGCAAGAACAAACGTTCACATCTAGCATTCTGATAACACCATATAGTGCGAACTCCCTGGGTCACCCTCCCATAGAGAAGCTTCGCCTGGCTAACAGTGTAGACAGCTATGCAGAGCGCAAGGCCCGGGACGTGCGCCCAACAGCCACCGTCGCAAAAAATTCCATCCAATACGACCGCATTTTACTCAGACATCTCTCAGAAAGAACTCGTATAATATCGAATATGCATCGTATATTAAATTATTGCTCTCACGAAGTAAGCAAACCAGCCCTTTTGGCGTTTCTGCTGGGCCGTATGCTGAATGTTGGGGAGGGGATGGGGTCCCCGACGGTCGACGGACTACTTCAACTCGGTCCTTAAAACCGCCTCAATTTGATGCTTACCTCAGAACTAAGCCTTAAAGAGAGGAGGACGGGTCCGTCCCCTCTCCAAGGCTTAGTCCTGGGGTAAGCAAACCAGCCCTTTTGGCGGAGCTGCTGGACCAGCTGCACCACTTCGTCATCACTCTCCTACCGTACCGACCGAGTTGAAGTAGTCCGTCGACCTTGGGGACCCCATCCCCTCCCCAACATTCAGCATACGGCCCCAGCAGAAACGCCAAAAGGGCTGGTTTGCTTACCTCCAGGAGGACCCCGACAAGGGAAATGCGTAGGGGTACAGGATCATTTTTGACCCACTGTGGCACTTTACCGTCAAATGAATTATTTTTGGTGCAACGTAAAATGGCGTTAATTTTACGGCGCGGGTTCAAAAAATTGGCAATTGGCCCGTTCATTCTTGGGCTATGATATGTAATCACTTTCCCGCCCATGTACACAGAAAAATCATCAGTTTTGTAACAAAAAAATGAAAGCGATCAAACGAAAAAAGTCTTAGGGAAGTTTTTAGCGGTCCCCTAAACGACACTCAGATTTGGACAACGGGTAATAAAAAATCAAACAATAGCCTTCAAGACAAGTTTATTATGTTGGAATTATTTCACCTTTAATGACTAGAAATGGAACACGACAAACGTGATGACAAGACGGCAGAGCAACAATGGCAACAACACACCGAAACATGTGACATGGTCATGATAATGCGAACCCAGAAAACAATTTAATGCTCCACAGAATAAGTGTTCCCAATCTATATAACAAATTCTATACCACAACTGCAAATTATAACCGACTAACCATGACGTCTAATAAGCTCGACTGCAAAAAAGGACCCTTCATATCACAACCGGAAATTGCACGACTGTAGTGGGTAAAGAGATCCAAGCTGATGGCTGATGGTTCCAAATACCATGTTAGAAGTGGGACCCTCAGAAAGTTGCTGATAGAACTTAAAGGCAGCGATTACGATAAAGGTGGGAGCGCATCGGGGAAGCATATGCACCACACGAATCAGTTACTTGGCTGCCAGGGAAGCGAGGTGTAGCGCTTTCACGACGAAAGGTGCGCTGGTTGCTGAGCAGGACTTCGAAAGCACTCCGCCCCCAAAAGCGATCCGCCCACTAGTTTAGTTGGTGATTTGGACGAGCTGCGTTGCCAGCAGCGGCACAACTGGAGCAACTCGATTGGAGCGTGGTTTGGCATGGTGCCACCAAACGCGTTGCGCTGAACTCGTTCATACGTCCGCTTTCTGAGCTGTTACCTGTTCATGAGTGAAAACCAACGGCCAAAAAGGGGTCCCATTTTGCGTTTTTTGACGGATTTCTCCACTTTTCGCCACCAAGTATCTCTGAGCATCATCACGTCTCCCCTTGACCTTCTTATACCTACCGTAATCACTGCCTTTAAGCGTCGGTCGACCGTCAGTTTTAGAATTCCTATCGAGAAATGTGGTACCGGTAATATTTTTCAAAAACGTGGAAGGTAGGGAAAGGGGAATCTTCGGTGAAAGTAATATGGCAGGGAGTGGTAGACGGGTTACTGAGGAATAACTAGCAAGGGCTTTTACAAGATAAGGTCCACTTGGAATCTGCAAATAATCTTCAAGAATTGGCCCCAAAATTTTCCGTCGCTATGCAACCGAGGCAACATCCTCCGCTCAGATGCGACGGCCTCCCAGTGCGCTAGCGCGCCACCAAAGGATCAGCCGCCTGTTATTCCATCCCGGAAAAATTTTCGGCTCTTAACCTTTGGAGGGATCTCGATACGACCCCCTCTACCACAATCCGTCTCAGAGAGTCCCTCAGAAAGAACGCCGTTTTACCAAGCTTTCGACCTTCAGCAACTTGTAAAACGACCCTTCCTCCGAAGAAAAACTCGAATACGAATCTCTCCGTTGAGAAGTGGCGCAAAGCACGGCTGGCGCCCAATCCCGTCTCGTGATATGCAGGAATACAGAAGGAATACATGAACTCTAATGAAAGATGAACTACAGTGAGATCAGTGAACCGGGAGGAGATCAAGTGTCATTAGACCAGTTTTCTATCTCCATATTGACAATCAAAAAGAACCCGAGATATTTCCAATCGTGCCAAAGCGAACGTACGTGCATCCATGCCGCTTAACGACTTTTCAATCGAGCGAACAAATAAGGAAACCTAAAAACGATGAGCTGAATGGGAAGTAACCATACAAATAAATAGGCAATCGATGAACTGATTATTTGAAATAGTTGAAGTAAAAGAACCGTCCTGATGGCAATTACCTCTGTGTCTCCAACGTCTTCCTCATGCACCTCTTCAAGTTTCCTCTTCTTCCCCGATGAGCCCGCGGACTGGCTTTGCTTGTCATTATACTGTAAGATAAAATATGTCCATCAAAGGAGGAAATCACAAGGACGAAGGTCGAGAAAGAGGAAACTTATCTACTGGAAAAACACGCAGGCCTTCTATGATGCAGAACGCTACACCAATTCGCATCGAAGAATCTGCCCCGGTGATCTAACATAGAATTCCTCAGACTCTACGCGATTGGCACGCTGTTGCTGCGGTAGCAACCCCCGACGTAAGCAAACCAGCCCTTTTGGCGCTTCGGCTGGGACCGTATGCTGAATGTTGGGGAGGGGATGGAGTCCCCGACGGTGGACGGACCACTTCAACTCGGTCCTTAGAACCGCCACAATTTGGTGCTTACCTCAGAACTAAGCCTTAAAGAGAGGACGGGTCCGTCCCCTCTCCAAGGCTTAGTCCTGGGGTGAGCAAACCAGCCCTTCTGGCGGAGCTGCTGGACCAGCTGCACCACTTGCGTCAGTACTCTCCTATCGTACCAACCGAGTTGAAGTAAACCGTCGACCGTTGGGGACCCCATCCCCTCCCCAACATTCAGCATACGGTCCCAGCCGAAACGCCAAAAGGGCTGGTTTTGCTTACCCCCGTCCCCCCCCGCCACCTTTCTCGCGTCGTGCCTCGTGAATTGAGTCTTCCACATTTGCAAAGAGTCATTAGCGTAAACAGAGGGCAGTAACGATGACGGTCGCATCAATGCATGAATCAACCTGCAGGAATAGACCCATTTCTCGGGTTTTGAGCAAGTTTCTCGATTTTTTCTTCTTTCGCTTATCACTGACCATCTCAAAATTTACTTTCTAAAGTGAAATCCGCCTTTGAACAACAAATACATCGCCAACAAAAACCCGGTAACATGAATAATTATTTTTGATTGGGCACACAGAATAAAATTTGAATTTTAGACCTGGCTGGTATAGTACACCATGCGTTCCTTCTAATCATCACTTCTTTGGATGGTGTGCAAGAGATACCACCAACACAGAGCAGAGCAAGGCACGCTAATTTCCGAGATTTTCACCTCATCCGATAACCAAGAGCCTAGCTTAGCGTTTGTTTTTTACATGGTAGTCAGAAGAGAAGCGCCGCTGCTAGCAAGGACATCATGCGATATCGAACACTCTGCACGATATCAATTAACCTCCTCCAGAAATACCGCTCTGGTTCACAATAAAATGGCTTTCTAAAGGCTTGTTCGTGTACGTGCACACTTGCATGGCCGATAAACAAATCTAACGCCAGACAGCCGCAAAATCGTTAAGGCAGATTCCATGGGCCCTTCGGCAACATTAGAATCCGGCCGGTTTAGGTCCCAAGGAGTGCGTCACCACTCCGGTCGTTGACGCAGCCCTCATGGTCTAGAACAGGGTGATGCGTCCAGATGCATATTGGAGAACCATCCCTGACCACGGCTTGCTGCACCCCGCCCCTGAGCTTCGATGCCCAAGCAAAATGAAAAAAAAACTAAAAAAAGCTCTGTCGTTACATACCTCCACATCAATTGGTAACGGCATCGCCATGCTCTGCTCAGCAAAACTCGCATAAAATTCTTTCAGTGGGTCACAGCGATCCTGAAAATAAGATAGGAAGTCAATCAGACTGCTTGAACTCTCTTGATTATTAATTATACATTCAAAAAGGTATTTGCATCAGTGTTGGAAAGATGGAGGCAAGGTGCGCGTGTACAATACGCTCCACACACGCGCGTGTCCCTAGAAGCTGAATTTTGGATATAACTCACACGTGTACTAATATCTCTCCGGAACTGACTGATTGTACCAGACTATTATTTAGGCGGATAAAAACACGGAATCATGGATCCGAAGACCTCTAGCAATTTTTTTTACACATTTTGTAGGCAACTAAATATTTCGGAACAGATGAGGCGCGGTGTATCCCAAAAAACATGCACGAATTTCTCCCGACTGAGAACAATGAGAATCAGGCCTGAAAGGTAGGACAACAACGGCTCCTCCAAAACAGGGTGGAAGCATCCCCTAGTTATCATATAGGTCTTTACAGCATGATGGCGTGGTGTCTTCAGGAGTTCGCTTCAGACAAAACCAAGCCTTAAAGGACGAATTCACGCTGGAAAGGCAACCCATTTCAAATTAATTTAGCGATGGTGAGTGGTACACTAAAGAAGGAAAACCATGAGAAACGGCCCAGAACCCGAGAAATGGGACCCCTTCCTTGCCCGTTGATTTGAGCATTGATGCGACTCTCATCGCTGTGCCCTCTTCAACACTACGCTCTCTCACCTATCTAATCACTCGCCACGTATAGACCTGCGGCGAGTGATCAGATGATCGGTGGGCGTGCACTGGCCCACCGCGCCAAGATTGAGCCTTAATAGGTCGCCGAGGTCAACTCCTTCGGTGCCAATTGCGCTTCAGTCCGCACCCTTAGGAGGTCCGCGGGTCCCTCAACTAGGTGAATTACTCCTTCTTCGACCTTCATTCTAATCGTGAATTCGTCCTTTAACTTCGTTCAGAATTGACCACGAAGTCATTTTGGAAATACATAAAATGACAAGATGTATCCGTAGCCTCGACACCGTACGAGCCTACAATAACTTCGATCATTAGGCACGGTAAAATACACCTTATAAATTTCGTCCCAGAAACCATAAAGCATTTGGCGGTGATCAACTCATTTTAAGAATACGCCACATGTTCTCCTATGGCGCTATTCTACCTGCTTTACCCACGTCTGTTCCCATAGATACACTCAAATACAAAAGCCACACATGAACTTACCTCAATCTCTCCTTCTCCGGAATCGCTAGCTTCCTCCTCATCGTTCCTCTCTGTGATCTGGGATCAAAGAGACCTTCCGCTGCAAGCACGCTATACATTAAAAAATCGGTAAAAAGGTCAGACTGCAAACTATTTCATTGTGACTTGCCAGTCAGATGCAACCACGTTAATCAGTAGCAATATAAAATACTTACAGCCCAACAGAAGACAATAAAACTCAACAAACCATTGCCTCCAAGTTTCATGAGACTCGTCATAAGATCGCCTCGCTTTCGCCTGTTCCGATGCTCTATGTAGGGGTCCAAAAATGACATTTTCTTGTAATAGTAGTACCTGGAACACCGCACTGTAGTCATGCAAAGCCTTCACAAGTTTACGATCAGTCAGTCTTTGCCGGAAACCGCCACGCATTCGGTTTCCATTTTAGAATCATGTTGCACAACGAATTTAACTAGCTAGAACAGTGCACCTTTGGCCCTACCAAAATAAGTTCTTTTTACTTCTCGCTCTGCATTTTTTTCACGGTTTCGTTTTTGCTGTGATGTTCCTGGGCGATCCATAAAGCAGAGAACGTTTGACGGCCATAAAGATGATGAAAATTCAATATGTAAGCAAATTTTCCCACCATTTATCGCCTTTTTTGAGCGGAGCGCTGGTCTTGTCGATCTTTCGAAGGCGTACATAACGATCCCGCATATGACGCCATTTGCGCTCCAGCTCCACTCCAGGGCCTGAAACACTTATGATAAGACGTGCTCGCTATCAATGATTAATCCTCGTTGTGAATTGATCGCGCGAGCCGGCTAAAGGATAGTGAGGTTCGGTGGGAGCATTACGACCAGTGGAGGGCGGTGCAATTTTGATAATGTCATTAACGTCACTGGTTGATAGATCCTCAGCGCGTATGGGATGTGGCTGGCACGTCACTTGGCGCCCTTCCACAAATAACGTTCCATGACCTTATCAAAACACAACGCTCACCAGCCATCGCGATCACTGTCACAAAGCTGCTTTCAAAAGGGCCAAATAAGTAGATAAAGTGGACCAGTAAATTGGTCACACAATGAAGGCTGAAATCGCGGCCAGAAAACTTTCAGTCGAACAATACCCTGACATCGGGTACACTTACAGACGGCAACTGAAAACCATGGAGTGCCGCCGAGTGTGACAGCCTTCCGATTAGATAAGACCACCTACTGCACACTTACTGCTAGCCACTTCCAAAGGCATAAAATTAGCTTGAGCCAAGCCCTGGACAAGCTGAACTTAAAGTCAGTGAACACGATGGCCGGGATTATTTTATTGGAGCGATCTACCGATTTTGATTTCCAGCAGGCCTCCACTTCGAATGAGCAACTCCACTTCACCTTTAAGGCGGCCCAATCCCATTCTCAGTACGATCTTCGTTTTCGAAATGTTAACCTGATAAACATACCTGAAAAGGACAACTGCTGCGCCACTTGGTTCCACACATGACTTTTGTAGTCGGACATTTTATGAAGTGGATGGCACCTAAAAAAAATGAAGTGGTAGTAGTAGAAAAACTGTAGTGTTGAACAATTTGAGAATTCAAAATTTTACTGCGGGCGAGGTGGTGGCGCAGATTTCTAAGCATCAATTGAACCTATTCCATTGTTTCATAGACATATAAATATTTCGAAAAACCTCAGGCGGAAATCGGGAATCAATAGCCAAGCAAAATGAGGTTAAAATTATTAGTACAACATAAATCCGTGCGACGAACAAAAAACTTTAGAAATTCAACTGTTGACATATCAGGTTCTTCTCACGGCATCAATCAAAGCGAATCTCAAAATGTCATGCGCTGTGCACGGATATTGCATAACCATAAGTAATTTAGCAACATTTCCGCGATGACCTATTATGTTAATGGGCCTAAAACAAGTGAAACGCTTATTAGACGGCCACAAATAGTAATAAAATACTGCCAAAGATCATCAGAAAGCACTCGCCGTAGTGGGCGGAGATGGTGCGCTTCTCATCGGTCATCTCCTTCTCTTTACCATATCTTGAAGCGTTAATGGGAAGAGCTGACCAATGAGAAGGATGCAATCTCCCCTTCTCGCCCAGCAGGCTTTTGATAAGCTTTTTCTGCTTCACATCTTGAGCGACCATATTTGAAGACTTTCATATTCTTGCACAACAACCAACTTCTAGGCGATTGCGGAAGATGTCGTTGATTTTTTATAAACTGAACTAAAGTAACAAGCAATTTCTTCTCACCCCCATTCCCAACTCGGCCTCTTTTTCATCACCATCGACGGATTTGGCATGATTTTTCGATTTCCTTTTGACATTCGCTAGAATGACAGATTTTCACGTCAACGATCACTTCTTTTGTCGTTTCGCCCGATAGTGGCTTCACTTCCACCGTTGCCATTTGCACGCGAAGCAGTGACAACGGAAGAGAGTGTGATGGATTTCACAAGAGCGAGAAATCTTTCCTGAAAATAAGTTGGTCTCGGAAAATATTACGGCGGCTTCAACAAAAACGTACGACAAGGGACTGATATATATGAAAAGGGAGGAACGTAAATGCCAGAACACTGTTTAGATTCGAGTTGGCGATTTTTTGCTTTCGAGGGAGAATGAGACGTGCGGGTTCGATTACCACCTGGTGAAAGCTTTGCCTTAACCTAGCCCTGCTCTTTTGTAAAAATTACCCATCAGTACTTCGCCGAATTGATTGATTGTGGAGCAGGTAGAGAGGCCACAGAACCCAGCATTAAAAAAGCATGAAGCATTTGCTGTTTATCGATCCCTTTTTAGGATGCGACACACATTCGACTTCCATTTTACATTCGAAGTGGTGTTTGGGTGCGATTTTAGCCGGGGCAAGCGTGGGCCAGCCGCATACATTATACGAAGTTATACGAACTCCCAAATAAGTCTGGTACCAATTAGCCAACCCCGGAGAGAAGGAAGGTTTGGTTAGCCCGAACGACAGACGACCCAAGATTGTTCCCCAGATCATGCGCGTGATAGGCGTGCCACTCTAACGAAAACCAAATATTCATGCGCAGAGGTTACCGTGTGAAGTCCATGCTGTAGGACTGAGCGTTTAGGTAAATACCCCTTGATAGTCTCCCGAGTCCGTAGCAGAGCCGTGGGTTCGTAAATGACTGATTGCATTAAACGCTGATGATTGTGAAATCGCATTGCATTGATTTGCACCCGGCAGTGCTGACGACCGGCTCGAACAATGCTCGATTTGAATTGACAGTATCACTTTGTCGTTGAGTAGTGGCTGTGTCACTTTCTCCACTCGAAGCGCTCTTAATGTAGAGAGTGAAGATTCGCTCAGCCTACCTCGCAAAACCCGCCCACTCACGAGTCACGATTGTGGGACCTTCAAAGACCTTTTTAACGAGATCGGTACGCTTTTTGTTACACTGCAGTGGGACAGACACGTTTATCTTCTCATGAGTGGAAGAATATTTAGAATAATTGAAAGGCCCTAAGACTCGTCCACAGTGCCTTTTTTAGTATGGTGTCATTTTCCACTCTTAGCAGCGTTACGTAAAAATTTTTCATGGGCGGTGCCATGACTGCTATGGTAATCTTACAACGGACGATGACCATCGCTCCATTTATAAGTCTAATTGAATGCAATCCACGCCGGTCGTGACATGTGTGTTTGGAATGGTTCTCAAGCTGAAGGGTTGCTCCTTCGCAGCCCTTCATGTCCCATGAACTACAATTCAACAATCACAAGCTAAGGCAGCAAACGAAAACGTCAGGATTGGTTGCCAACTGTGCCATCACCGAGGCCGGGTGCAGCCCCGGCGAGGGGATGGGTCCCCAAAGTTCTGTGTCTCCTACTCTGTCGATGACGCAACTCTCGTGGTTAAGAATAGGGGAAGGGGGATGCGTCCAGAGATGCAGAGTTTTGGGGACCCATCCCCTGGCCGGGGCTTGGTGCACCCTTCTCCTAAAAAGCAAAACGAAGCGACAAAGAAACCAGAAGCAATTTTTGTGATAACAGCTGTATTTCTGTTTCTCTTAAGGTCACCGACTTCAAAAATAACACGATGGATGCAGAAGAAAGCTAAAGTGGTGTGTTGTCTCTGTGTTTGCCAGCACGAGTAAGGTAGCACGTATGAAGCTCAACTAAGAAAATGGAATCTCACAGTAGAAAGTTCTCATAGAAATATAATTTAAAGGAATCGAAGCACTAGAGAGATTCGCAGAATGAATGGGTTCCTCGTTCAAATTTAAGACCGGGCTGTTCCCAAAAGGATAAAGGAAAAAGGTGTGAGCAGCTCTTATGGGATGAGCAACACACTTTCCTCCCGTTTAAAATCGAAGAGGCATGCAATGGTACATCCGTGGAATATATAGGACCACTGAGTACTTTATTTCAGCCTTTCTATCCTCCATGGAAAAATAGATAGAAAATCTAAACCCAATGGAGCGAGCCCTGACTGGCTTGAACATACCATTTTTCGTTTGAAAACCACGCAAGAATTAAACTGCATTTCAAGCTACTGCTCTTATTCCGCTCCTGTAAAAGAACAAGCTCAGAAACAGCAGGATTTGGGCTCAAAAACAGTTCAATATTCTCATGCTAGTATAATAAGTTGTGACGTAACAGAATTGATTATTGGACTCATTTATGATTTTACCCTTTTCACGAGTGTACAAACTTTCAAAAACTCGATCGACCGTCACTTGGTTCCGTGAAATGTTTTTTTTTTATTTTTTATTTTTCGTGACAATTTTTCATGTGCTCTACTGTACAAATTGCTTCTCAATTCTTTTGTATTGCGAAAGTTTCCCATTCTTCCTCCTTTTCATAAAGATTTTGTTTGCCTTAATCTGATATCAAGGTACTGTTTCAGGTTCACATCGCATGAGCCCTCTCCTCTATTAGTCATTAAATTTCGTTAAGCTACGTTATCCCTTGATTTCTCACCGACCATTTTCTATGGTCATGATACACATCCTGACGTTGAACAATCGCTTAGGAAGAATTTCTGCGATTCAGGGTTTCCACGACGTTGGGAAATCTTTCACAAATTTCCTGACCCCCTCCTTCCAGGGTGCCTTGATACGACCCCTATCACCACACGGGGGAAAGATTCATCCTTATATAACGGCCGCCCCATCCACACTCAGGCGTCAACCACCGTCACCACAAATGGCTTGGCTCTTACAGGACTCCCCGATTCTGGGTCGCAAATGACGCGGATGCATTTCAGCTCAACTCCCACCATTTTGTCTTTCCATCCAGCCGTCCAGCGGCTGGGAAAAGAAAGTCTACTGAAAAGATGAATGCTCTAGTTTTATTTTTTTATTTTTTTTTTTACCAAAAATGTCAATAACTCTCTAGGGCCAGGTAGTGGGAAACGTTAGAAAGGGTTCATATGGCTAGCACAGGACTCGCCTGGTCATGGATAAAATGCTAACAATGCAGCCTTTAAAGCAGAGAATATTAACGTTAACCGAACCAGATAGGGAAATGAAGAATAGAAGCATTTCGCCACCCGATCCAATTCGCTTTTTAGGGACGCCGTTCGGAACTGTTTCGATTTTGGCCTAGGCAGTAGATTACTTACCGGGAAGCCAGCGATGATAGATTCAGATGTTTTCTAGACATATCCAGACAAAGCTCTTATACCAAGCGAGCGAGCTTTGCCGAGAAATTTTAAGGCTCGTTGGCCGCGGACGACGCAAACGACCCAGATTCGAATCCCCAGACACGAGGCCGTGTGTAAGCATTTCCCACTCTGCTGCTACAGCACTGCAGTCGCGGACTTGGGCGGCCATGGTAAAAATGTTGCACGCAATTTCAAGTTCCAAATAGGAAGAGAGTGTCAGTGATGAGGCATTTCGCCTCGAGTTCAGCCCGGGTACTCAAGTGAAGTCTCGCGAGACGGAGTCGTAAAAATTGGTCCAGCCTCGAGGTTATTGAACTTCAACTGGCCCCGACACTTTTAACCAGGTTAATGATCTGGTGATGTCCCCGCACACTCTCTCCGCACTCCTCAATTACTGCCTATTTCGCTCCAGTAGATTTATAAAAAAGAAGCAGAATTTTGCGTAAATCAACCTATAGGAGACACCGATGAAGACTGAACGTAGCAAGTTTGCGATGTCGATTCAAAACGGATAGTAGCTGTTCATAGAGAGTCGATTGGTCCCCAAAGCACTATTAACGCCGACGAGAGTGAGAGCAATAATCCGACGATGTTGGTATATATGACCCCAATTTGTGTGGTGTTGAGATTTTCCCTACGTTAGTAGAAACAGTGAGTTCTCATTGAAGAAATTAAACCTGGCGATGACGTGGATGATAATGCCGTAAAAAAACCAAGCGAAAGCAGCTGCCATCGCCATCTAGATATTTCTCAATTCTTTGGTAAAATACTGGACAGTTTTCTATAATATTCCCTTCAAATTTATGCTTTTTATGCAAACTAACAGTTTTCAAACACCGTAGACGCCAAAGTGACAGCGCGGCTGCAAGCGAATGAATTCAAAGGAACGCTGACGCCATCGTGTGTTTCATCCCATAGCTCGGACTGCAAGGCACAATGGGGCGGTAGCGGAGGTCATAGAAAGGCAGGAGATCGATATGAAGATTATGCTCGTTATTTATTTTACTTTCATTTATTTGATTTCTTTTGCTATTCTTTATTTTGCTCACTTTTTTCTTTTTCTTTTTACTTTTTCCTTCTTCTCAAATTAGGGACCAATTTAATAACAAAGAGTGGTTGCACAGCTTGGTTGGCGTATGTAGGAGGGGTTCGATCGGCGGGTTTTGAAGGTGATTTAGGCCGAACGAATGATCTGCTGATTGAACGCTAAGTCAAGCAAGCTTTCCTGCTCAAAAATCCGATAAAATGGGATTGGCCCTTTAAAAAGGACAATCCACCGCAAAAAACGTCGGTCAATACCGGTGCTTTTGAAGCAGCAACCCAAAATATGTCGTGTGCTGAAGAAACTGCTTTGTGGGCTAGACATAGATGTAGTAACCCGCCGATCCACAGATATTTCGGGTCGGTTGATGTCTCGGAATTTTGTGCGGCGACAATAGTGCAGGGCGCGTGTACAAATTACGTAATGGCGACTAATGAAAGCTAATGGACGAGATATCTCGCGACACCCCATGA